CACATTTCCCTTGAAGTGCAGCACATTTATAACTTTTCTGCTCACAAACTCCTCCGTAACGACCACTATCCATAAACATGCTGAGTGACAGCTGACTGTATAAAAATTCAAGGACTCCAACTCCTGAGATTATAAACGCAAAAGGAGGTACAACCAGCTAGAAAGGCAGTCTATTCTTTTGTTCATCTCGCTTACAATAATTACGTGCCTTTTGATTCAGTTTATCGTTTTGTGCACAAATTTTATACCCTTCAGCAGAATTTGGCACGTTTTAGCTTAAATCAACCTTCCAGGCATACGGTGTCTTCCTGATGATAAAAAAGAGACTTAACTGCTCATCATGACTACTTTTTAGAATCAGCATGAAAATATAGATTCTCAAAAGAGTGACAACATACAGTTGGAAACATATCCACATTGCGCATACCGTTGTCATGCTCCGATAAGACGCCGCCTAAAATATTGTTAAAAACAGTTCAAGAGCTTTAAATTGTGCTCCAAATCCTACTCACGACAAACATTTCAAAAAAAATATTTTTCATGGATAGTTTTGATGTTCAAAAGGAATAGCGCTGATGAAACATTATAGAATAATTCAAAAGAAATGGTTTCGATGAAAATGAACAAAGGGCTTCAGCCAGCGAAAACGATCTGTTAAGATTCGCATGCTTTAACAACACAGTTCATACTTGCTGACTGAAAAATAAACATAATTTTGTCTACGTTGTTTGAAGCTTGACCAAGGCAATAATTCGCAGATGAATTTAAACGGCTTTTGACAATTAGTGGCGAACAGTTAAAACGCACGCTGTCTATGTAGATTTTACTGCAGCTAGTATTAGCGCAATGGATGAGACGCCGCAAGAATTCAACTCGTTGAGTGACCCTATACAATAATTTCTAAAAAGCAATGCTGATATAAAGCCTATGCCAATGATTAAAGCGCAGATAGACGTAGTTAATTCAGAATTATACCTACCCCACCCAGATGAATTTGTGCCACAACCTCTAAATCAGTTTACTTGTTAGCATATAATTAGAGCGCCTGCAATTTTCTCAGTGTTAAACTGGAGCTTATAACAAGTGTTGTCAAAACACCATATTGGAAGAAGCCACATGCGAATACAGAGCAAGATCAATAACAAATTTCGGTTGTTACGCAAATTAGAGAGCGATGGATGGGTTGTGTGCCTGTTTGTGGCACATTAACAATCAAACGTCTCCTAAAATGAACGGCGTTACCACCGGGGAGGAAAACAGTCGGCCAACATCAATTAACGATGAGTTGGTACCCCACAAAAAGAGGGTCAGTCAGGTACCTTCCAAAGCCTTATCTCATGCACACAGTAACATAGGCACTAGATTTCAGCCGGAAATATAGTTCAGATATGAAGAGCCTGACACTACTGCGGCTAAAATGTAGGTGTATTCCGCTAGCACTGGGGAAGATTGAGATGACCTCCACGGTTGTCATGAAAATGAAATTGGTGGAAGTGGTTGGTAGTTAGCGGGTAGTAACGGGCACGAGGGTTTCAGGTGCAAACAAGCATTTTTACCTAACCTTGGAACGGTCAAATCTAGGACAGTAACACTGCTTAATAAGGCCACGTGAAATGTTAACCTCCAGCATGCATGATTACCGTAAATTTTGCATGAAGGGGAGTGAAAAATTTGCTATCACCGGTCGTTCACTGAAAATGCAAATTGGATAATGAACAGGATGCCGAGAAAGAAGGATGACGAAATTCGAACTGAAAAGTTTCCGGTCAGAATTCTAACGCACACTACAAGAGGCACAGGCGTATTAAGGAACTGAATTTGAAGTCTTTGGATCGCACGTGGACAGAGAATATCCTCTTAAAATTCGAGATTCTTAGCCCTTCTAATCCCCCAGTTAGTAATTTTCCCAAAAACTTTCACGTTTCTGCATGTGAGAACCAAGTCCATTTAGGAATTGAATTTGAAACTTTTAGATCGCATCTAAACATGGAACATTTGGTTCTTGAACTGGCAATTTCCCACCAAAATTTTACTCGCCGAGACGTGACAAACAGAAATGCATAAAAAATGATGCCATGCTCCTCGGAGTGCATCTGACTAGAGAACCCACTAACAAAATTCCAATACCTAAATTGAAATACTCAGACAAACGCATATACACAAACACACATACACATAAACATACAGACACATACAAAATAGGTTGTCACAACGTTGGTGTTGCTGACTGTGCTATAGCGCTCCACAGTAAAAACGTATAAAAACGTAAATAAATAGAGGGGCGCACCAGGATGTCTGGTGCAGTAATGCGTTCTGTGGAACTCTGTCCAGCGGACGCTTGTGCAGTTCTATCCCTTATGGGCATGCGGAAGTTTTAATGCGACTAAGTCATTCTTTTCCCTCCACATCCCGCTCACTGAATAATTTGCATTTTCAGTGAATGACGAGTAACAGCCATTTTTCGTAAGGAATTACTAGAACTTGGTTCGGTCGCTCTTAGTAGACGCTCTCATTTCTTTGCTAGTGAGAAACAAATGCCGCTTGCCGGCGCTGCTTGGGAAGCGGCATTTACTTTCCCCCTCTTCTATCCTTTCCCCAGTCGTGTCCTCGGAGTTGCATTTGCGCACCCACCAATCACAACCCCCAGTTACTTCCAGCCCCTCCACACAAAGGCAACTAGCCGTTGAAATTTCTAAAAAAGCTTAGAGTCTTGCTGTCCAGAGCAAAACTCCCTCCTCCAAACAGCATGGACAAGTGG